TGCATTGATAGTCTGTATTATAAAGTGAAAATCAGAAAGTGTGTAATGTGAATTATAAATGTTCTGACAGAGCTTTCTGGAGTGTGTACTTTTTAATCTACAATTAAATTTAGTATCAATGAAATCTTAAACTGTATTTTATTATTATAATTAAACATTAATTCTTTTATTTAAAATCATTATGAATGTCAAAATAAGTAGAGAACTCAGGCAAGGACATGCCTCTATTTAATAATTTACCAGATCACTCCAATTACCCTAAAGGGTCAGAGGATCAAAGATGAATTAATCATCTAGTGGTTCAATCGTTTAACTGTTCAGATAAAAAATTTATTCATAACACATCACTAATTCCACATGTATTGACACTGAAATATTTAATATAAAATCATTTTGAATTACTAGAAAAATATAGGTAAATTTGTTTGTAATTTCCAAATGAAAAAAATTTTTTGAAGCATAAAGCCAGTGGGAGAAAAATAAGAGTTTAGTAAATTTGAGGCACCACCATCCATGAGAATCAACAAATGAAAACAACTCAGTGTCCATGTACAGTAAAATAAATAAGAAGATTGTGAGAAAGAATGTACTATTGTGTAGATTAGAGTGAACCCACTCACATACATTATTGACAGTGGTGAGATAGAGCCCTTTGGAAATACTTTAGCTCCCCCTCGTGTATTTATTATGCATGCTAATGGGAGGGGACACAGCAGTAAAACAGTGTCATTGCTTGTAGTAGTCAGTGATGGTATATAATAGTGATGGGTACAGAGGAGAGAAAAAGAGAAAAGATCAGTTGCATGTGAGTTTTACTCAGACATGCTATATTTTGTTGAGAGCTATCAGATTTCTGAGAAGTGTACTGCATCTCTGCCCCTTTGAATTTAGGGAAGTGTCAAGTAGTTCCTGGGTCAGGTCGACAGAATCAACTGTTCCCTTAATAATCCCAAATAACAACTGGCCAAAAGCCTGGACTCCCACAAAACAGCCAATCCAATGTTCAGAGAATACGACTTGCAGGAAAGCTGTCATCTATCAAATGAGCTATTTTCAATGAGTGCTGAAATTACCTCCATTTTTAACTTAAAACTGATTATGTACTCACATACAAATAAAACTAACTGCATTATTTAAGCAAACATAACACTGCTCCAACTGATAGAATTAATATACCAAAACAATATATCAATGTTAAGTTCTCTGACACAGATTTCTGTGGTGAAGTACTTACTCTCTGGACTCCAGCATGTCAGTGTGGCTTTACGGTTTATGCCCTATCAGGCCTTTTCCTCTTAGTTCCCAGGAGCATAATTTCAACCTCAGGCACAGGTCTCCTTTGCACCAGTAGGATCTCACTGTAGATCCTACAGTGAGATTGTCTCTTAAGATTGGCCCTTTTGGAGTAAAAATGCATTCCCCATGCTTCAGTACAACTTGGCTTTCTCAAACAGGTCTCTCCTGATTGCTCTTCTCTTTCATAATGTGAAGGTCTGGTCTCAACACCCCCTAAATGAAAGCTCTGGGATATGATTTGTGTCATCTAGTTCATCCCAAGTGTGATGATGTGTGTATAACACACTAAGTTGAAATGAAGAACAAAGTTCGACTCCATTACAAATGTCTTGCCTCAGGCTCTGAATAGCTGGGAGATTCTCCGCATGTAACTCATTCCAAGCTTTGATATTAACTAGCTGTGTGAGCTTGGGGTCAAATATACAAATCCAACTTTATGTTTCAGCGATATTGGGGAAAAGAGATTGGACATTTAAAAATACTGTAAAATAAAATTAATATTATCATTTAAATTTGAATACTTATAGAAGAATTATCTTAACTTGTGGCATATCTGCATTTTATAGTAAATTTAACCAACAAACATTGGGTCTGCAAAAAGTAACAAGTGGGCTCTCTGTGGTTAAGAACATTTTGAAGAAAAACAGTTATACTTCCATAGAAAAGCGTATATTCTAGTTTAGTTACTGAGGTGACACTGGAAAAGAATACATTTTAAAAATAGAACTCGCTGGTCAAAGTTAAAATGCACATTCTTAATGAGGTTAAATGGAATTAAATGGCATAATGAATATAGTGGGTGAGAAATTCTAAGGTGAATTATAATCTACTGAAGAGGCACAGATTAGTAAGTATGCAGAGAGCACAGGCAGGGGACAAATCACGCATTTGTTTGGTAAGGAGCCTTGGAACAGAGGCTGCAGCTCAGGCCCGAGCTCTGCTGGGAGCTCAGAGAGCACAGAGGGCTCCGGCTCAGCCTCTGGCAAAGTGGAAGCCTCCTCTGCAACAGCCTGGCAGAGACCACGCTGCTTCTGATTAAATGCTTGTACTCCGAAGAGCCCACAAGGCAGCCAAGTCAATGTTCAGGCAGCACAGGAAAGTCGTTACCTGTAAAGTGAGCCCAGATAGGAATGAAATGCCATCAAGTTTCACAGAGGGTACCCACTACAAGCAGGCTGTTCTCAATCTTCATTCAGCAAGTATTCGCAGTAACCTCACACAGCGTGTACACGCTGTGCACTCAGCGCAGGAAGTAGGGTCCTAGACACGCACGTCGGTCAGTCTCACTCAGTTCATAAGGAGCAGAGCGAGGATTTCACTCAGGTTTGATGCCAACACCCGCGTCTCCTCTCCTCTGGCTCGGCCATTTGGGGCTGATCAGATGGGCTGTGTGTGCTGCATGTTAGACCAATGGAAGAGGAGATACGCAAGACTGAGATGTGATTACAAAATTTTAGAGAAAATGGAAATCCTGGGAAAATTGAATGAAGTCTTGTTGGGAACCACTCTGCCTGGTTTCAGGAGTTCTAAGTGCCCCCCATGGCTAAGGATGAGTGAGCAACCTCCAGAATGTGAGCCACTTAAGAGACAAAGCTTAGCTCTGGCAGCAATACTGCTTCTGCTTCCTCTCCTTGCCCCCAGCGCTTGGTTGGTTAGTTAGTCCATGACGGGTAAGACCACTCAGAGGAGGGGCAACCTAAGCCAGACACGATCACTTGGGAGGCCATCATGGAAGGATATCGGGAGGGGGCTGCAACAAAGAGGGAGTGATGGAGCCTCGCCCCCCGGCTGTTCTGACATAGCCTGAGTCCCCATTTCCATCTGGGAGAAGCACTTCTTGGCTCTAATCCACTTAAGCCTGAAAACCTATGATGGGGGAGGCAGTGCAGCCCCTAGCCAGCTGAAGAAGGGCCTGGGGTGACTGGGCATAAGAAAAAGTTCCTAAAAGTCCTGTGAAACCTGCTTTGTTTAGAATGTTCTCATTGAAATGATAAGGGTCCAAGCAAGAAGTTTGTTCCTCAAGGTTTTATGGCTATTTAGCTATCTGACCCTGACTGAGAATAAGCCCTCGTAGTTCTTTCAATGCTATCTACTGTTTGATCCATACCTATATTCTGGTCCAAATGAACCCAATAAAAGCCCATTGAGGAAAAGGCTCTTGGCCTTTCTCCTCTGAGAGATTGGCTACCTTTCCTCCCCAAGTAGGTCATGTCCTGGTAGTTTCACTTTCATCCGTGGCAGACGGGGGGGGGGGGTTGACTTGCTGGCAAAGTTGCCCCCACAAAGTCTGATCTATTCAAATCTAAACGTTTTAAGGATAAGTCTGGGAGTTTACTAGAAGTGAGCTAAGAATATAACAAAGAGAATCAATACACCATCAAACTACATACCTGTAGCTTTGCATGATAAAAGAGGGATTCCATCAAAAATGAGGTGGTCTCCCAGAAGGAGTTAATCTGGGGCTGGGGGACAGGTGAACGAGAGATGCTGAAGAAACCCTCCACGCAGGTTCTAGAGCCACTTGGGTGGTGGGCGTGTGGACGTTGACACATCTGCCCACTGCGTGGCCGCGGGTGAGCTCCCCACCCACTTCGTGAGTTGTAGTGCCCACTCGCACCGACCTGACTGCTGGGACCGCCAGTAGCAACATGAAAGGCTTATGCTCCCCAGTACTGATGGTGGGCACATTAACCGTCAGAAAGAAACTTTACCTGCTGAAGATACAGCTTTCAATCCAAAAGATGCCCAGGTGTGGCAAGATCTCACTTACCGAAGTTTACGAAAACCTCTAATAAGATCTTTCATAAGGCCATTTATTGCCTGCACCACCCTGCAGTTTGGGATTGGCGCCTTTCTCATTATCAGAGGCTGCCTCCTGCTTGGCCTGACTACATCAGTAAAGTAGGCTTCTAAGGGGCCTTTGCCTTTCTGACTGGCATCCTGGTGTTGCCGCCCCGGGTTTAGCACCTGCTCAGGGCCTGTAGAGCAGATCGAGGCAGCCAACGCTGCTCCTGCTGCGGACTGTGATGACTAGGCCACCGCAGCCGCCGCCGCAGCCCCCACCGCCGCAGGAGGCAGGAGGCAGGAGGCAGGAGGCACAGATGGGGATGAGTGGCGTTTTGGGCGTTTGGCAGGAGCTGTGGAAATCTAGGCAGCTACTAGCAAAACTATGGCCAGATTTTATAAATCCCTACCCAGAATGTTAATTGAGCTTATAATTAGACAAACAAGAAGCTAGGGCGTGCTCTATGTCTATTTTCTTGACCTTAGCTAAAACCCCTGACAAATTTTTCCACGTGAACATGAATACTGGAAGACTAGCAACATCAATTGTATGGGGCAGTGAACAGTTACATTGTAGAACAAAAGGCTGTCTCTGCCATCCTATTCAGAGCTGAACATTTTGTTAAATAGCCCTCAGTGATAATCTCATTTTGTGGCAAAAGGAAAAACGCACTATATCTAATTTTGTGTTATGAAGTAATTTACTTAGAAAATATTGGGGTATCTTATCCCCAGCTACGCTGTTTAATACTGCAGACTGCATTCCCTTCCTGCACTTCCTCTGATCACCAGTTTTCTCCATTCCTTTTTCATTTCCAATCTCTTTCCAATATACTAAACAATTTGATTATTTACACGATTTAATGTCCAGGGTCTGCCTTCCGCCACTGTTAGGTTAGCTCTAGGAACATAGGGATGTTTTAAGTGGGAGAAATATACCACCACTCCACGTCCACTGTGAGGTTGGCAGCCCCAAGAGCCCCTTTTTAATGTGGCGTGTGGTGGACCGGTTCCCACTCCCAAAGGAACGAGGGGCAGACACATTTCCACGTGCAAGGAGAAGAGGGGTGTTTTGTCTGTTTTGTGCAGCGTTTAGAAAGGTACACAGAATGTGTAACAAGAACAGGATGAATTTGTGAATGAAAGAATAAATAAGTAAATTATTGCCTAACTTGAAGGGAAACGTGAAAGCTTAAGAATAATTTAAACCTGTGCATTTTTGAAATTTCTAGTCAAGTCTCACGGCTAAGTTAAAAACCAAAAAACCTTTTATCTAAAAGATCCTTAGACACGTACATTTTAAAAATAGAATCTCAGTCAGTCTCAAGTGGTCATATGTTATGTGATTACTTTTATTTAACATTCTTGAAATAAAATTGAAGAGCTGAAGATGGACCACTGGTTGCCAGAGTTACGGTGGTGATGACGTGAAGCTGTGCAGGTGATAGAATTGCACAGAACTGCACACGCGTGCGTGCACACACGAGCACTGGTAACACTGGTGGGCTGTGACGGAGCTCTGGGGGCTGCTCAGTGGCAGCCTGTCTCCAGGTGGCGATCGCGTGTGATGCAAGATGCTGCTACGGGGAGGAGCTGGAGAAAGGGTTTATGGGGCTTCCCAGTTGTTTTTTTTTTTTTGCAACTTTGTGTGAACTTATAATTATTTTAAAATAAAAAGTGAAAAATGGTAAGAACTTTAAAGTGTGTCATAAAATGTGTTTAAATACATGTATTTTGTGTCTATGTTATGCACCAGTGTGACAAAAAATTTTGGTAGCATCAAAACTGAAGCACACAACAAACCTCCTTCATTTTCTCCCAGGCAACAGAATAGTGAGGCCACCTCAGGAGTGTGCCAGCCTCCGATACGCTCCAACCAGGGACTGCCGACCACTGCTGAGAACAAACGTCACGTATCTAAATCAGAGATTCCAAAATCTAGTAAGACTGAGAGCAAAGTAAAATTCCAGATGCCATGTCCAAGTTCTTTTACTTTTCTGGACTATGTCCAGCCAACTAATATTTTTTCAACCTGACTTACATAACTAAATACAAGCAACTCTGAATTGTGGGAAAAACAACAAGGGCAGTGGAGTGAGCCCAGAGTCCCACAGGCCTACTGCGGTCAGGCTTACCAGGCTCACAGGGTTATAGTTTAGCTGTGGTAACCCTGGCCAAGGCACTGGACTGTATGGAGCCTCACTTACTCCTAGATAAAGAGGTAGTAAGAATATTTACTGACAGGAAGCAGAAGGGTTATAAAAAGTCACAAATGTGAAAAACATTTGCCCGTACCACACACACATGTAATTCAGTACATGTTAATTTCCTGTGCTTGTTCTTGAAATAAATAGAAGTACCTTGTTATATTACTGTCCCTAATTCTACAGACAGTGGGACTTTTCTAAGCCACTAAATGATTTTTTATGTCTGCATTGCAACCTTTTATTTAGTTACTATTTTCTTTAAGGGGATCCTTTACTGTATGGAGACCTGAATATTGTCATAAACGTCAGATTTTATGTTTTCTGCTCTGGCGTGTTCCCACATGAAAACTGTGTTGCCTTACAACACCAAAGTCACAAAGCAGCATGATTTCTATATTTTATTTATAAATGTTAACTTTATCAGTGAAATTTTTTTGGTGAGTTCTTCCATTGTATCTCATGTCATAAATTTTAGCATGAAAAAGATGTCATGAGGAGGACTGGGGTGGGGGGTGCACTGGGATGGGAGTAAAAGAAAACTATACTTGTTTTTAATTGTTGTACTTGAACAACAATTAAAATAAAAAAATTTTTAAATAATTTTGTGACATCATTAGGGCTTCTAAATACACACACAATCTGAAGGTAAGCAGAGGTGATTTTAGATGTTTTAGAAAGATATACAATTAATTTGTATTCAGCATAGAAATTTTTATGAAAACTATTAAGAGGACTTTAATTACCCATTTGTTCAGAGTATTCGCCTACATACGCTACCCTCTCAGTTACTTGGTAGCCAACTCAGTTATCAGATCGGTTATTAGTGACAAAGACCACATTCCCATAACATTTATTCTAGCGTGCTGTAACTGTTCTATTTTGTCATTGTTTTTGTTAATCTCTTACTATGCCTAATTTATAAATTAAACTTCATCATAGATGTGTACGTACTGCCTGCACCCTGAGTAGAAGCAGCAAATGCTTACTGCATATCTTTAAAGTGACTTCCTGAAGTCTGTGCTAAACCTCCCAAGGACAGAGTGTAACCAGACCAATCACTCTTATTGTTCCCTTGCATTTGCAACCTTTTTCCTTGTTACTCTGTAAGAAGTAGTCAGTAACATCCTTTCCTTTGTTATCCGTAAAAAGTAATCACCTAAAGCAAACCTGAGCACAATGAATGAGAACCTTCTTTGATGAATGCTGTTAGAAAGCCAATAAAAGCCTGTCCAGGCAAGGGTCAAGGTGCTCCCCCCTTGAGAGAGTGGCCTTGCCACCCCTTTTTCTCCGCAGGACTTTGGTAGTTTGTGTGAATTCGTCTCGTCTCATCCTCAACACCACAGACACTGCTGGTCAGAGTCCTCATCACAAGAACTCTTTTGTTCTCAAATGTGTTTTAACACCATTCTATTCTTATTTCATACATGTAGTGTCTCCTATATCCCTAAAATTATGAGAGGTATTATTTTTCATTTTCTTAAAAGTGCATGGTTTCTGTTTCCTACAAGTAGTTTAGTTTGTTTTGGCTTTTGTCCTTCATGCATTTCTCAAATCTCTGGAGCTCCTTGGTTATCTACTTACATTGGATAAAATATGAACTTTGCTGGAGGTTGTAGATTATCAGCTTCAACACAGTATGATTAGTGGGGGGTTTAAATGTAAATCAGAATGAGTCATTTTATTGAAGTCTCCTCTCTTGAGCAGTCAGTTTTTCTAGGATCAACTGCCTGGAGAACACTGGCTGAATGCCAGCAGTAGGGAGCCAGGTTTGGGAATAAGGTTGGGGGAAAAATCGGTGTGTTTATTTGGATACGATTCTCATTTCTTTCTCTAGTGTCCCTGCTTTCATGTAGTCTAGTGTCTCTCAGTTAAGAAACCTTTTGGAAAGCAACATCTAGAGATTAAGACTCCCACATTTTGCTGGGATCAAGCGAAGCAGTTGCCCAGATGTTTGGCATGGGAATAGAACTCTGAGGGGCTATTTTTTTAGTGCTTTTTAAAAAATCCTTATCTGAGGATGTGTTCACTGATTTTAGAGGAAGAGGAAGGGAGAGGAATAGAGAGAGAGAGTGAGGTCAGCTGCCTCGTGTACGAATCCAGCCAGGGATCACACCCACAATCTAGGTATTGCCCTGACAGAGGATCGACCTGCAGCCCTCCGGTGCACAGCATGAGACTGAACCACCTGGCCAGGGCTGAGGGGCTGATTCTGAAGCTTTCAGTGACTCCTGTCTTCAGCCTTGCCTCTGGTCCCCACTGCCACAGGTAACTGGTGCTGCTCATTTTTGAGCCCTTTTTAAAACACAGATTCCATGGTACAACTTATATTGCTTCTTATCTTTCTTTGGTTCTGGCTTAGGCCAATTACCACTTTCCATCTGCTTTTCAACTTCCAAAAAGTGCATTGTTTTTTCAATCTTTTTTCTGCTTTATAACATTTTTTAAAAGATCTCTTTGCTTTTGTTTCATTGTGGTTGAATATGTATTTTCATACCAACATTTTTAACCAGAAGTACCTCTCTCAGCTGTCTTTCACTGCCAGGAACTGTCTTTACAAAGCATTATTTTTAAAAGTGTGCATTATTGAATCTTATATTGGAGTGGGAATATTGAGCATCTGGAACAAAAGTTTAGGTCTTTAAAAAATCAGTAGCTATTTTATAGTGAGAGCTTCACTGTACATCTGGTGGAAAAGTTAGGAACAGTTATCTCATCGAGAAAAGCTTGAGCAGAGCTGGGAACTAAGAAAGGGGTTAGGAGTGCTTTGATTTTTAACAGGAAAAACATCTGCTTTTTATTGTATACGCTGCCTTCTCTCCAAGTGTGCTTAAGTATCTCTAAAGATGCCTAGACACACAGTTGTCTGGTCTCCATGAGATAAAGTGTGGTTTAACGAATCCCCTGTCCATCTGTCAACTGGCTTGGCCATTGTAGTAGTTGCCCCACCGTTTAACCACGTCTCAATCTTGAGGTTATTCATGTTGCTATTTTTGGACAGACTATGTGACTTAAGAATATGGTGAAGTAAGCCAAACAACGCTTGATTTTTCATCTGCCTCTGATTATCTGCAGTGCTGTTTCCCAAACTGTGTTCTGTGGAACATCAATAACCCAAGTTGTTGGTGAGTACTCCATGAAAGAAAAAACAACCTTTGTTCTTCTAAATTTTGTTTCTTTACTATATGTAAAAATAGTAAATATATTTACATGTGGTAATTGCCTTCCTTCTACTACAGTTTGTCTGTAAGAAATGGAGTGTCATGCACAAAAGGCCAACATGTATCAAGAAATAGCCTGGTCTCTGCACACACAGTCTTTGAGTCTGGGAGCGACACCATAACCACCAATGTGTGCAGGCTTCTGTTTTTGGTTTGTTTTCTATGGTTGTGTATCTTGTGTCTTAAGATGTCAAAAAATGCTGGTAATACTCTATTTCCTCTTAATAAATTAATAAAACATTTAATCTTTCTCACTTGTTTTTTTCTGATTAGTTTTTATTGTGTTCCTCTGTATTAACTGGATTCTCTCTACAACCTTAAAACAGAGAGTCAAATTCTCAGGAAATCTCGTTAGCAAAGGCCGATATTACAGCACGGATAGCCATCAGCTCAAAGGTAAACCATACATATTTCTTTTTAAAAAATTGTTGTTCAAGTACAGTTGTCTCCATTTTTCCCCACCATGCCCCCATACCCGACTTCCACCCTCAATCCTAGCCATTTTGGCTTTGTCCCTGTGTCCTTTATACATGTTCTTGGTGGCCCTTCCCCTATTTTCAACCATTACCCCTTTCCTCACTCCCTCTGGTTACTGTCAGTTTGTTCTTTGTTTCAATGTCGCTGGTTATAA